TTTGGACTGGGTTTCCCATCTTCTTATCAGTTGTTTCTCTAATGAGGAGGAAACATGATGTAGGTATTGCAACCCATCATATTACAGGGATTATTAACAATGTTATAGGGATCCTGGAAATGAAATATAGAATTTCATTGTGGCAACTCTCTGACCTTACTCAACAGGTTCTCATAGTAAAGCAAACCTGTACCTGTTAAACCTTAAAAACTAAAAGTCCCACATAAGAGCAGGAGCTGGTGGGGGGTCTACTCTTAGGGAGGGCTTCTAATAGTACAGATTCACTTTAAAGGGGCACTAAGCATATTTCACATTGTTTTATAAACTTAAATTAATTTATTGAAGAAAGGGGACTTTCAGAGATCAGCTATATCAGGGGTGGACAACCTTGGCACTCCAGCTGTTGTGGAACTACAAGTCCCATGAGGCAGTGCAAGTCTCTGACCTCCAAGGACATAACTCCAATAGGCAGTTGGAGTGCCATGCATCACAGCTGAAATGCCAAGGTTGCCTACCACTGCGCTAGATCATCCTTCAGCAGAGACCACGTGACCATGTCTCAGCACTGGCCATGTGACTTGCACCACGGAGCAGAAGTATTATAGGGATTTCAGGAGACCAATATGTTTTTCAGTACCCTTTATAACTTTTAACCGTAGCAACTTAGGGATATTTATGTATAAGAAATGTTTTTAGAAGAGAATAGATATGCAGATCATTTGTTCTATACATCTCCTCAAAGCTTTTATATTAACCTTTTTTGGAAAGTACGTTTTTGTGGTATAGCGGCCCCTTTAGAATGAAAGTGGTATGTTACCGGACAGTATCGTCAGTCCCAATTCTCTGTTAACTGTGTAATAGATTAGCCGTTAGCACTGTTGCCCCATAGCGGTGTGATCATGGTTTCAGTTTCTACGAAGGAATTAATTGTATATACACTGAGTGGCCAGATTATTATGACCACCCCATCAGTACTTCGTTGGGCCACCATTTGCCTTCAATACTGCTGCGATTCTTCTTGGCATTGACTCCATGACATGTTGAAAGGTGATGCGAGGAACTTGACACCATGCCTGAGCTACTGTATATTTTCTCATAGGGCTCCAGTATAGTGTTGCAGCGTGTTTAGATAAAGTGTTAGTGTCCTCGGCAACAAGTCAGTTTTCTTCAGATATTTTCTATGTTCTTATAGTCCGAAATAAGGAGAAGATCATATGTAATGGTTGGAATCTACAATGTGTGACTCAATGCCTTGGTCCAGGTGCGATATAGTTGAGGCAACCAAGCCAAGGTTGCCAAAGAGAAAAGAAGAAAAGAGAATAGAAGGTTCAAGGCTTAAAGTTTGCAGTTGCCTCCACTGCATTTTTTAGATCTTGAACCTGCAATCCAGCTCATCTGCACCCATTCACATTACTCTGTACACCAAACTCATTGCATGGTTTCTGATGGCTGTGTTCAGTGTGCCACATCAAGTTGTATAACCAGCCCTGATGGAGGGGGAATTTTTGATCCCCAAAATGAATTGGAGATACAATTTGATGTTATTGCAGGACCTTTCTAAAATATAGACTCTCCCTCCAAATACTGAGGCCTTACATGGGCACAAACAGAGCAAAAGCATCATCTGAAGTTAGACTTGAGCATATATGCCAAGCCAGCTAGGCTTGCTATTAAATTTGTCATCTCCTCCAGGACCGTCAGTTGCTGTAAAATCTTAATGTCTCCCTGGGCTTCATATTGATTTCTTGCCGCAGTTTATTCTGTTACAGTTCTACCAATAATCACACAGCTCTGTTTTCTCAGCCCGGGAAGTGTGACCTTGGGAACAGTCTGAGGCTTGTTGGCGGCATTTTCATTGCTCTTATATGAATGATGTTATGGCCTCCAATGCAGTGGAGAGCAATGAATCTATAAGCAAGCTTCATCCACCAATAATATATTCTATCAGGACCTGAGCCACAAATCATAAATATGGATAACTAGACAGATAAAATATTGTATGAAAACTTATTAAAGCGTAGCTCCAGGCAATAAGACAACCAGGGAACTGCTTAGGCAATCCTTGCAATATTGTAACTGAGAATGTCCTCTTCGTTTACTGTAAAGTGAAGATATCATTCGAAATCCCAGGACATGAAAAGTATATCTACAGTCAAAGCCTTAGTTTTTCAGTTTTGGATATTAGGGATGTTTTAGAACCTCTGTTAGATTTTTTTGGTATTGCTGTATGTGTCCCTGCTGAAGAGATTAACCCTCTCCATTTGTCCTAATGACCACTGTCACCAGGGCAGAAAGTAATGGGAGATCCAGAATTTTGTAACTGTTACTGGAACAGGAGGTGAGGAGAAATTTTCCTGTGACAGCTGTTTAAAAGGGGATTTTTTCCCCATTTTGGAGAGATGCCATCTCACTTCCCGTTATGTCAATGGGACCAGAGGTAAAAGGAAAGCTTCCCAATGGAGCACAGAGGGGAAAAATATCCCTATTCTATCCAAATTAAAAACAAAAACGTTTAGCTTTAGGTAAATTGTAAGGTTTTTACGTGTGTATCTTTAGTTGTGATATTGAACCATATAGGGGAACCCCACTAGAACAAAAACAGGAAATCCCCTTTGACAGTCAATATAAGATCCAAAGTTAGCACCGATGTACGAGATATCCCTTGTAGTGGGAAACTTTGGTTGTCGGTATATCTTTAGTTGTGAACAGATTGTTGTTTTGGCCCCAGAGCCGGTAGCCTGAGCACACTCAGAAGGCAGGCCTCCACTATATCTCCAAGTCAAAGCTCGGACACCTAACCCTCCCTTCCTGTAATGTGGGTCCCTTTCTACTTGAGGGAAGGAGCTGTAACATGTCAAGGCTCCGGAGTTCAAGTAAAGACCTGCCTGCTGAGTGTACTGGAGATCAGCCACCACAACAAATAAGATTTACTTGTGTGTTTTAATGATTTTTATTATTTTATGTTTTTTTTTTTTTATTAGATTGGTGTAACAAGACCAGTCTGCATTAAATGCTACTTTCAACATTCATTTTTTAAAAACATTTCTGAATTTTAATTTTGATTTCTTCAATGGTCAGAATTAAATAAGAATTAAAAGAATGATTACAAAATAGTAACAGAGCATGCACAGTATTGTGGCCTGGGCAGTCCATATAAAAGGTGGTGCAGCCAGTGACATATTGTTTAGCCATTCTGAAATTCTCTGCTTTTATGGTAATAAAAGCTGTGGGCCAAGAAAAGCGGGTGCCAGGCATTCCTTTTTATTGCAGTATTACTGGAGCTGATCCATGGCACACATTGTAGGCACCGGACACTTCACATAGTACCGCAGAAAATGAGATTACTGTGGGAAAGTGTGGCAGTTTATTTATTAGTGTCTGACTAATCACGTGTTTCATATTATCTGAGTATTTGGCTATTTGAGCACAGATTGCAACTTCATCTCCTTCCAACAGTTACATAAATACATACAAGGGGCTTTGAGTCTCCTATATTCAATCTAAAAGAAAGGAAAACTTTTCTGTTCCCCATTTCAACTGATCGGATGTGTCTTTTTACCAGCACCATTAAGGTTTTGTATATGGTAGTGTTGCAGGTTGTGACCTTACAATAAAATCCAATTTTATTGCATCATACACCGATCAGCCATAACATTATGACCACCCGCCTAATATTGAGTAGGCCCCCCAAAACAGCCCTGACCCGTCAAGGCATGGGCTCCACTAGACCTCTGAACATTTGGTCCCTGGTGTTGGTGTGCTGGAAGTAGAAAATAGGGCCTCGTGTAAGGATCTGAGCGACTTTGACAAGGGCCAAATTGTGATAGCTAGACGAGCGAGTCAGAGCTATTCCAAAACTGTAGCTCTTGTTGGATGTTCCCAGTCTGCAGTGGTCAGGACCTACCAACATTGGTCGAAGGAAGTAAAACCAGTGAACCAGCGACAGGGCCATGGGTGCCCAAGGCTCAGTAATTCACATTGGGAGCGAAGGCTGGCCTGTGTATCCCGATGTAATAGAAGAGCTACTGTAGCTCAAATTGCTAAAAAAGTTAATGATCGTTCCAATAGAAAGGTGTCTGAACACACATGTATTGCGGTTTGTTGTGTCAGGGTGTCCATGCTGACCCCTGTCCACTGCCTAAAGCACCTACAATGGGCAAATGAACATCTGAACTGGACCACGGAGCAATAGAAGAAGGTGGCCTGGTCTGATGAATCATGATTTTTTTTACATCATGTGAATGGCTGGTGGGTGGGTTGGTGCGTGTGTGTCATCCATATGATGTTCTTACTGAGAGTAAGTGGGTGATAGCACATGGTATGTGGCTGAACAGTATGCATGAAGTTTGATACTGCTGCATGAGCTGCTCAGACTAACTGGTAACAGAGAACTTGAAGCCATGCAGAGTTATCATGCTGAAGGAATTCCAGGGCAGTAAGATTATAGTTGTATATCAATGATACAGTCTTCCGCTCTATATCTGGCTGCTCCAATGTATCCTCTGAAAACATACTGTTGATTGTTGGTCGGAGGCATGCTGACATCATGCACAATGCAGGGCCCCATAGCTCAGCAATATACGTGAGGATACAGAAGAACAGTCCACGAGTCGAAGTGGAGAGAGGTGAGCTCCAACTGTCGAGGGGAGCGGGGATCAGGTAAGTAAAAGTCCTCTACACCATACCCCTAGCCCTAGACATTAATGAGCTTAACTGCTCACTGTAGTGTGAGGTTAGCCCCACTGCCATAGGATTTTGTTTTTTTTATTTGGAGATAGGTTTTAAGGTAACATTTGATTACATGTCATCATTAAAATACGGTAAGTCAAAGCCTAGATGCCAGAAAATATTGTCAAAACATAAGTAAGTGTTGGCTTGGATACACTTTTTAGTGTCTTAGTTAATTACACTTTATTAAAAAAGGTCTTTCTTGTTTTGTGGATTGTGCAGTAAACTGGAATGCTGAATATTTTTAATAATACATTTTTTTCCTGCTGTAGTGAAAAGGAAAAAAAGTTCAAAAGCTGAGCCTAAAGGTGTAGTAACTAAAGTAACAGGAAAGAAGATCACCAAAATAATTGGTCTGGGGAAGAAGAAGCCCAGTACAGATGAGCAGACGTCATCGGCAGAAGAGGATGTCCCAACTTGTGGTGAGTTCTCCTATACAGATCAGAATTAAACTTCTCTTGTATGGTTCATTACATTGCACTTAGGAGAGGCCCATGTAAATGTTCCAGTGGGCTTAAAAAAAGATTGCAGCTTTTGCAGTTATATTTGCATCTTAGTAACTTTTCCTTCCCCTCTAAACTATTATGTTGTGAGAGGACCATTAGCCTATTCTCTGATGCTGATGAACCACTACGTAAAGTCTCTCACAAATGCAGCTTGGCATCCAGCTTGACACCTTGACTTCCAGTGATTTTAAAGCAGAGAAGGAACACATAACATACCTTATTTAGGGTGTACCCAATTATGTATACCCAGCTTTAACATGTTATTGTAATTTCAAAATCTGTACAATTTATTAAGATAACTGATCATCCTGCCTTGAAGATCCATGTCCAGGCACTTCTTCTTTAAGAGTGACAACTCTGTCCCTATCTCCCAGTTTTGCTCCTGTGTTGTCACACACTCACCCAGCGGAGACTGCATGCATTCTTGATGGTTGCATTGCACTGTCCACTGTTGCTACCATCGGGGGAACCTGTCCTTAAAAAAATGGTGTAGTGCTGGGGTGCATGTAGACAGGAAGTGACTGCAAAGAGGCTGCAGATTAGCAGTACTGATATGCAACAAAGGATAAATTAAGTGGAAAAAAAGTATTTTCTTAACCAAAAATGGCAAATGTATATGATACATGCTTTAAGAAACTAAATGGAACTGGAGTCGGGTTTACATCTACTTTACATTTAGTGTTAAACGCACAGGTTTTTTTTTGACCAGAGCTTTCATTTATCACATTCTGGTGTCCTGAGAGTGCTTATCACTATGGCCCAGCGAACACTATGGACACCTCTTTTATGAGAAGGGAACAGCACTCTGATTCTTGAAAATATTAGTCAAGTCCATCACTTTATTCCAAAGCTAGATCTGCAGAAGTCTACCTAGATCTGCCTAGACTTTCACACTATATTCCACATATACCTTCCAGTCTTCTACATATGGGTAACAAAGGTAGTTGTCTATGTATTCAATTTGTGTTGTTTCATACTAGGATATCTAAATGTCCTCAGCAACAACCGCTGGAGAGAACGCTGGTGTCGGGTGAAGGACCACAAACTCATCTTCCACAAGGACAGGACTGACCTGAAAACACACATAGTCTCCATACCTCTTCGAGGGTGCGAAGTTAATACTGGCCTCGACTCTAAACACCCACTGGCGTTCCGACTGCTGCGGAATGGACAAGAGGTGGCTGTACTGGAGGTGAGTGCGCTCATGATTGTTAAAGGGTGTTTCTATCTTAAATTAGGTAAACTACTTCATGTAATGACACACAGAGCCCTTGTCACCCACAGTTTTTTAGAAATTAACCAGCTTTGTGGATTGAGCCTATTATGTACGGAAAGTTTTGGATAAGCTTTTTAAAGTACTTCCTGTGCAGAGGTGATTTAAAGTGTGGAAATGTTGATTATTGTATTTTTGTAAATTTTTCACTGCCACTATTTTCTATGAACTTTTCTACACAGGGAAACTTGAGCACATTGTCCCTGTATTATGAAAGCAATAGGCATTCATACCCATACCCAGGATTCCCACTGGCACCATTCTACTACCCTTCACTTAGGTCACCTGTACGGCAGAGCTCCTCCAGGGCTGTTCTCTGTTTTCCAGAGTGGAGATACCTCTGAAAACATATGTGATGTTCAGTAGCAGATTTTCAGTGCTTGGAAGGCCTATCCATGTCACGCTAAACTATGTGTCCATACCCCCTCAGGTATCAAAGCAGGTGCAGAAGGAACTTTCCTGCCACAACAAGCACTTGGAAGTGTGTAATCTGCTATGCCTACTGGCAGGAGGTCTGGCATTTCTAGCATTTACTAGAAGGATTGACTTGGCATTCAGAAGTACTTGGCAGGCTTTAGTCATGTACACAAATCTGGCTTGGTTTTATTTATTTATTTTACACCCGGACTGCTTTTACTCTTTGGCCTTGAAAACCTCAGTACCATTTAGTTTTACAGTGGGAAAGTGAGAATGGTACATTAAGGAAATGCACAAATTAGTCATTGCAGGAATTGGCACACTTTGCTAATTGTATTAAAGGACAGACTAGGGACCTTCAAATCCATTTGCAGGAGACACATGAAGCCCGGGTTTATATTTTGCATGAGCGTCTGTTGGTTTTTCTACTCTAGTGCTGAATGAGATACAAGAAAGTCATTGCGTAATTTGTTATTTTTGTGTTCTACAAGACACAAAACACAAAATATACTGATAACTAAATAAACGTGAAGAATGTATTACCTTGTGTGTTTATTTTGAAATAATAAATTGTCTTTTATTCCCTTCCGCTACTAAAGGCGATTTCTTCAGAAGACATGGGCCGGTGGATAGGAATATTATTGGCTGAAACCGGTTCTTCTACTGACCCCGGAGCCCTGCATTATGACTACATTGATGTGGACACCACAGCCAACGTCATACAGACTGCCAAGCAGTCTTTCTGGTAAGCTGATGTATTTCAACATGGTATTGGTATCTAATGTGGTATGATGGACACCCAGTTCGGTCCATTCCAGCCAGGTCAAGCAAAGATCTCTCTATTTCTAAACAAGTGACCGGGGTCATCCTCACCTTTTCTAACAAATCATGTTTTGCTCCACCAAGAAACCAGTTTGTGTTTGCCTACTGCTCTGGCAAGGGCTGTTCTAGCAAGAGATGTTGGTCCTTTGAAATAAGGGTTTATTTAGATCAGAGGATCTACTACGTAATTGCCACAGACCAGTCTGTTTCTTTCTTAGCGCCAAAATCTAACAGACTCCACATTTGCCAGTTTGTAAAACCTTGGAACGTTGCTAGTAATCATGGGCAGATCTGGACAATTTAAGGGAGACAAATGTTCCTGAACTTACCTAGACTTTATAAATAGGCCCCGTGTCCGTGATCTAACGGACTTTAGTAGTAATGTCAGGCCAACTGCCCTGGGGTATCTACTAGGGATGCACCGATATCTAGTATACTAGTATAGGTATCGGTGCCAATACAGAGTATTTGGGCGAGTACTCGTATTCGCCCAAATGCTCCGATACTTACTCCCGATACCAGAAATTCCAGGCAGAAGGAAATGTCCCTCTGACCAGCAGTGCCGAGGCAGCATGGGTCCTGGCTTCCTAACCAATCAGGAAGCCAGGCAGCACATAATGATCCACCTCCCGGCTTGCTGATTGGCCAAGAAGCCAGGCTGCACAGGAACAAGTGAAGCCAGCTTCCTAGCCAATCACGAAGCCGGGAGGCAGGTTGTGATGTGCCACCCGGCTTCCTGATTGGTTAGGAAGCCAGAATGCCTAGCACAAGTGAAGCCAGTGTTCTTTCGCTAGAACACTGGCTTCACAGGAAATCAGGAAGCCGGACAGCGGGTCATGATCTGCAACCCAACTTGCTGATAATCTGGGCACACGGCACTGGTACTCGGTACTTGGCATCCGGGAGTACCGATAAAAAAAATATCGGTACTCATATTCGAAAAACCGGTATCAGTGCATCCCTAGTATCTACTGTACTAAGGTCAAAAGGTGCACAAAGACATTTTAGTCACTGTCAAAAATCAGAAAAAGGTTGATAGCTATTGTTCCCCCTAACTGACACTACCATAAACATGCATGCTTGGCCAATATAAATGTACGTACTTCTGGTTTGTAGAAATAACTGTGACATCTGGATCATGTAGTCCTAACCATCATGGGTGTCAGTCACCTTAGTCTGCCTAAAATAGTAAAAAGAAAACCGGGCTCCATCACCTTGAGCATTATGAACAATAGCATTTATTATAAGAAATATAATGCACTCACAGGGCACCCAGAAGAAAAATCTAATTTCAGAGTGTCTGCAGCAGAGAAAGGTGTCATCAAGCAACCCTTCTTGGCCAGCAGCAGGGGTGCATGTATGACCAGGGAATTGCACCCTGAATTCCTGCTTAACAGGCAAGACAGACCTGCTGTCCACCGATCGGCGGGTAAATATGGTGAATGGTAATTTGTGGTTTTAGTAGCCATACTTTGTGTTGTTGTTTAGCTCCATGAAGCTCATCATGTGGTGATTGTGTTGTTTGCTGTTCAGGGATTCTGGTAGACATGCAGCAGGGCTATCCAAGGGTCCTTACATAAAATCATATTAAAGTATGTAGAAAAACAAAGCCCCTCAGAATGAGTCAGTTTTTGGCATGCCTTCTAAATATGTAACATGCTAACCTCAGCACTACACTCTTCAGACATTTATCCAAATGTCCAAGATTTATTTGTGCTCAGTGTAAGGAAACTAAATACCTAACTAAATATATTGTTATAAACTCCTATACTGGCTCAAGACTGATAAGATGTGCAGAGCATATTGTTAGACTGACCAATCGGCAAAGGGCCATGTTTTGTTTATGATTGGAACAGGTTTCTGTATAACCATCATAGGCCGTGGCCTACACAGCCAGTCGCACATTCCCAAATGTTTCATATAAGGTTCCAGACTTCACCCCACCAGCCAGTGCAATGTAGTGTCTTGGCACAGTTTGTGTATTTTTGTTGGTGGGCTAGTGTTCAATGTACTTACAGTACAAAACATAAAAAATTTCCCAGCACACTTACCAGCTAGCCTGCAACAAAACAAAATACACTGTCTAACAATATGCATTAAAAACAGAGGTTTTAGTCGCACAACGTTTGCAACATATGTGGAAGCCACACTCCCTCGTCAAGGCCCCTCTGTGTAGTGTGGTCCTAACTCTAATCTATGTGAGCCTCCATCTTGGAGCATATATAACAAGGATAAACTGTGTATGCCTGGAAGTAGTCCACTCCTCCTTAAAGCCAATTTCCACCTTTTTAGAGGTTTTGTTAAAAAAACAAACCAGCAATGTACACCGAGTTTACATGAAGCAGGCATATGCAGTTGATGTATATGAACACAGAATCTTACATTTTTTGTTAGATTCCCTCTTCATAGCCTCATAAAAATAGCTGCCTCTTTGCTGTGCAAGGAATGTGTGTATATCTTTCCTTATTCCCTCCATTATGTGGATCTTGTTCTGGCTGTGAGTGTCTATCTGTCAGCTACTTCCTTTTTGGGGGACTAACTCCCTTTTTGTAGTCTTGAAAGGACCCTGTAGGGTGCTCTGACTTCCCTTTCCACCATTTCTAGGTTGCTCAGAGAGACCATCATCCAAGCTTGGTCTCAAGGATCGGGTGCCACCCTTTCCTGTGCAGGCATACTCTATTGGATCTGTGAGTGTTTCTTGTTGTTTTTGGCATCAAGCATCTTTTTCCCCAGATTTTCAAGGCTGCCTCCTGCTTTTTTGTTCACATGGTCTCTAAGTTCTACCAGGAGGTTGCAGCCTCATCTGATACCAGCTTTGGGCATAAGGTTGTTCAAGCATCTCTTTCAGCTGCAAGTAGTCCTTAGTTTTGTTATTTTTCTCCTGGGCCTGTTAGCATTTGTTTGCTGTGTTGCCCACCCCTCAGTAGGACTACTTTTGGATGTCCTGAAGGTGAGGACCCTCCCGTGTCCCTCAATAGAAGAGAACCAAAGTACGTTTTTTGTACTCCCTGTAAAATTATTTTCTTGGAGTCTATTGAGACCCCACATCTCTGTATATGACCATGCTCCTGATACTGCTTTACTACAAATCCTGAGGCATGCTGGTAGTAGAAAGGGTTATCCTGAGCTGGCCTACAGTTTTTTGGTTTGCCAGTGTCCAATCCCACTAGTGAAAGACTTCCTGTCTGTCTCAGTGGACCCAAAAAAATTGATTTTACTGTAGGTACAAAAATTCTAGTTTGCCTAATATATTCTATATCTAAATATTAGGGAATGCGCCGAAATTTCGGCCAAAAATGGTGCTTTGGGCAAAATGCTGAAAGTACAATTTTTTGGCCGAAAATGCGGTGCATCCCTAGTTTCTTTCCTCCCTGCTGGGTGCTGCTCTGTGTCCCCTCTAACATAGAACAGCGTCCAGCAGGGAAAAGAGAAACTTTCAGGAGGTGGGGCGGGGAGGAGAGCAAAGTCATTGGTGTCACAGAAGGCCGAGGACTCCTCCCAAACCGCCCCGCTCTGTGTCTTGTGAAAAGCAGATCAGGATGAAGAGCAGTGCGGGGAGAAGACACCTGTCACAGGAGGCCGAGCCAGCGGAGCGGGGACGAGAGCACTGTCAGCTGTCACAGGAGGCCAAGCTCTCCTCCCTGCACCGCCCGCTCAGCCTCCTTTGACAGCAAGTCAGGATGGAGAGCAGTAAACAAACTCTCAGCGATCAGCTGATCGTTGAGTGTTTGTAAATAATTGCGGACAGAGTATGATTACTGTGTCCCCAAATATTAATGAATGGGAAGTGATCTACATCACTTCCTGTTCATTCATGATTGTGGATATAGTAACTATACTATACTAATACTATATTCACAGTTTATGGATGGACAGGAGCACTCATGAATGAACAGGAAGCCTCTATACTAACAGAGGCTGCAGAATAAGAGATTGTGTGCTCAATCTCTTTTTCTATTTTAAAGGGAGATATCAGGGGTCTGTTTAGACCCCTGATATTCCCCAGAGCCAGTAATTAAAAAAAATATTAAAAAATATTATTTAAAAAATATAAGAAAAATTATACGTTTTGGTTTTCTGACAATTTTTTTTATTTTTGGTTTCGGTTTCAGTCTGAAAATTCCATCTCTTTGCACCTCTACTAAATATTGTATATCTATATGCTATACCATTACACCTGCTTCTCTGGGAGCCCATGTCTTTATTTTCTCTCTGAAGCGCTGAAGCTTCCGTCAGACTATACAGCATTTGACACATCTGGGAGTGAGGGAGGTCTGTGTCCCTCACCGCACGCTGGTTCCTTCCTCTGACTTGCGTTACTGCTTTGTCCTGTAATGATATAGGAGCCGATGGCTGGAACCATGGCACGCAGCAGGGGTTACGGGCATCCGACAACTGTGAAAGTGTCAAATACTAAAGTATTCTAAAGTCTTATGGGGAATGCTATTACCACTTCTTTTGCAGCGACCTGCTATTTATTTTTATGTATTCATTTATTTTTGTGTGAAAATGTCACTTTGTTTACTCAAGGGATAGAGCTCAGGGTAGATGCCACCGAGCTGGCCCAAGGTGGGTCAATGTCCAGTAGGTTGTGGAAACACAACCTGTGATAAGTGTTGTCGCCCCCCTTATGCTGTGTATTTATATCTCAGGAAAAGGCAGATAAATTACAGGTCTGTGTGCTTCTCTGCAAATCCTTTTGACGGTAAAGCATTTCCTATGTAGGTACTTCTGTCGGGTATTTAGCGGTTTGGCAAGAGTTTACCTTTTAACTGGAAGTTACTTATTAAAGCAGCCTTTAATGGTATAAGGTAGAAATTCTAATGTCTGGTTTGATTCATTTGAAAGTGATATGTTTATACATAAAGATTTTAGTTTAATTCTTTCTGTCTTATTTAATTTGCTTTATTTGCAGAGACCTGG